ACGCTGCGCTATGGCGTCCGTCGTCGTAAAAATTACAACTGGTTTTACAGTTTTTATCAAAAATTCTGTGTTAAAAAAAAAACTGGTGATGAAAAAATAATTTTCAAAACACACTGACCAATTACTTTTGAAGCGATATAAGTATTTTTTTCTGCCTACAGGAACTACTGAATATGTACATGTAGTACTGATCAGCAGGTTAATAACCTGGTAACATGTATCGGTGAATATATTCCTGTATAGAGTTCCAGAAGGCGATAAAGAAATCACATCTGCCAGTCTGAATTCTAAGTCAGATGTGAAAGAAGTTACATAAAACACCAATACTTATCGGATATATAGTTTTTGCGAACTCTAAACAAAACAGCGTAGATCACCTGAACACTGTCTAATCTAATCTATTACGAAAAGAGGCACTCCGCCACTTTCGACAGATGCTTCGCCTTTCCGAGTGAGTTTACTCTGGTCATTCACATAGTTGGCCCAGTACGAAATCGAAAGTGCCATTTGTAATGTATCACAGTATGATTGGAACTCTCCAGTCGTGATTGGAACTCTCCGGTCTTAAAAGGCAATAAAAAATATAGTTGGTCTACCAGTCAGCATGGCGTCCTGTTATGAATATCCAACACCATTGTTGTTGTTGTTATGGTATTGTTGTACCCGGAAGTGCAAAAATCTCGCAGATCACGTGACGTGACTTACGACCCATAGATATCTAAGGAGAAGATACATTTTTACTCAAATTGAAACTGCTGTAACGTAGGCAAAGGTCAAATTTAAGCTTCCTGGAATTGCATTCAGTGTTAATCTGCACGAAGTTCCAAAATTAAACTTCGATCATTTTTTAATGAACTAACCTCAACACCTTTCATCTTTTAATTGAATAGTAAAACTGATAAGATAAAGGGAGAGATTATTACGCATAATTATTTTGAATCAAAATGGTTTATATACAGTTATTTGTCAAAACTTTAATATTAGGCTGAATCAGAAGATTACACATGGAAACAGTTAATTGGCAAGCTATTCTAAAAACGCCTATAAACCTAAACATGTTATCTACTTGTAGAAGTGACAATGTCCAGGGTTGTTATATTAAATGTAAAAATAAAATATTTGGAAGTATGTTTTTAAAGCTTTGATGAGGTCCATTGAAAGATTGAGGGTAACAAATATGAAAAAAAAAATATATCTGTAAAACTCTCATATGTTTTGTTAGAGATTTACTGAAATGGCAATATATATACAACAATACATGGTATGATAGGAGTGAGTATAACGTATGGGCTGTTTTAAGATTTTTCTACTGGTACTTTTTATACATTTCAAGAATTTAAGTCCTTAAATAGCATGGTTTAGTATCTACTGTTAAAAAAGGGACAGATGTCCAATTATCGGCAAATTACATTATTATCCTGTATCGGTAAAGTTTTGGAAAGTGTTGTATTCATGTGTATCTACATTACGTGCTTGATAATCCCTGCTTTTATGAAAAGCAATCTGGATTTATGTTAAATCCTTCTACAGTGCATCAATTACATACATGTTTTTGGAAATAAACCATAGTTATGTGTCTCTGTTGAAAGAAAAAACACGTCTGTTTTTTTTTCTGTTTTTATATATATATATATACATAACGAAAGTTATTGACCGTGTATGGAATAACAGTTCATTCATCAAATTAGAATGTGGTATTACAGGTAATCTTTTAAATTGGTTGAAAAATTCAAAAATAACATTTCGGGACGGCAACAACTACAGTAGTTCTAGTCAATAATGTGTATTCCGATTCAGACTTTACAAATGCAAATGAGTTATTGAATAGTTGTTCTCTGACAGACGTTAGCAGGCTAGAACAAATACAACTTAAAGCAGCAAAAAATATTACCTGCATGCCTTCTTTCTCAAACAACCCCGATATTAAAAAATCCCAACTGCGACCATTATCGGAAAGAAGGAAACTAAAAAAAAACTTTCACTTATGCATTAACATCATCATAATCTAACTCTGTCCTATTTACCCAGTCTTCTTTCTCCGAGAGAAGCAGAACATTACAACATTCGAAATCGTGAAAACTAGTTAATGAGAACTATTCTGTTAATAATTTTCATTACTTGTGAATCTTTCATTCCATTTTCTGTTAGATTATGGAATAATTTACTAACCAACGTCATGTAGCAGCCATCCACCAGCTGTCTAAAATTCTAAAAATATCAATAAAATCCTGATTTATTACCTATCGATTATTATGTTGGAAATAGAAAATTGATCGTTTTAAATACAAGGTTGCGACATGCTTGAAGTGGCTTGAAATAAGACTTGTTCAGAGTTAAAAATCATGAACGATCCAGCATGAGAATGTGGTAAGGAATGTGAAAATGTTGTGCATTCTTTATTGTATATTATATATATGTATAAGGAAACGTGGAATTTTATTTGATAACATTTTTCGTTATTGTAGCGTCACAATTAATGATGTACTCTATTGTTCTCAAAACCTGTCAGATGAGCAAAATGCAAATATTTTTTTCAGTCCGTTCATACTTTTATCAAAACCAGTAATCAGTTTTAAGGGCATCTGTAAATATCATCACTTCAGTAATACGTGTCTCTATCTCCTAACCTCTGTACTAGTTATATTCAATTTCTATTCTATTTTCATCTCTTCTCTTCTAAAATATATACAGGCAGCCACTCAAATTTGATGAAAGTATATATCTAGTTTTCGCCTGAACGTAACGGTTATATTGTTGAATATCAACCAATTACAACGACAAGGAGTTCGTACTAGTGGCGATAATGAGAGTAATAACAACGACACCGACATTTTTACCACACTAGACCTCGGACACGCGCTTTAGACAAGAATTGTCACTAAACTAACCAATTGTTTTCACTTTATGCTGATCATAGCTTAGTTCCTCTTTCAATTCAAGTTCAGAAAATACAGAAAAGTCCTTGGCGGTCTTTCGTTAAGGATTAGCTGCATTGGTGTTTCTTCAGGCGGATATGCGTCTTCTTAGATTCCAGAGCTGAACTAGAGACACGCAAGTGCATGGATATGTGTATGGTACAGTTAAATTCAATTGCGGCGAATTGTTTCAATAGAAATGTGCTAATCACTTGCGAATCTTTCATGCAGTCCTGTAATAAGCCTCTGGTATCAACGCAAGTCATATGAAACATATTAGAAAAAATCCCGTTTTATCTACTAACATCAGTTTCCCCCAGCATTAAACAATACATTAATTAAACTCCATTGTCGTCACTTAGGTTGCTTGAAGTATATTGTGTCATGATGAAAGGTTTTCTTCAACCTGTACCGATGATAACAGGGTTGATTGATAATTGGTAAGCATCATATTTAAGGGTTTGACTTTTAGTGGACATATAGCACTAGTTTTCACCATAATCCCCTTCAGTATCTCTACACTTTTGCCAGCGATGTTTAAGGTCCTCAACGCCACTTTCAGTGAAGCCCTTTTCTTAACCCTCTTTACCTTCTTTGGCGGGGTGAACCAGGATGTTTCCATTGTTTATACTACTGTTTGGCCTCTGTGGTAAAATGTTGAACCCATATGTTAGCATGATCTGCCTGTAAAGAGATAACAGGTTAGCACACGACAAAGTCCGCCTGTTGTGCTTCTGATCAACAGTCAGAAGTCTTGGTACCCAACGGGCCGAGAGCTTTCTCATTGCAAGATCTTCCATAAGTATGGAATGTGCTCTTTCCTGTGAAATCCTAACTATACTGACTATATCTGTATCTCGCCTGTCAGTCATAACAATATCATGGCATTTATTGACCATTTCTGGGGTTACAACAGTGACGGACTTTTCAGGACAGAAGTCATCCCCAAGGCTCTGTTTGCCACTCTTAAATTCTGCCACCCACATTTTCACTGTAACATATGAAGGGGTGTCATTCCCTAGTGTTGCTACAATATCAGTATGGCTATCCTTAAGTGCTAGATCTTTTTGCAAATATTGAATCACTGTTCTGTCAATTTTGCACTTGCTCTGTTTACTTTAGAGTGCTACATAAACTAACTGAATGACACAAGTTATCAGGTACACAGTCTTAAATAGTTAGGGGATAGTACAACTGAAAAAAGACATATTTGCGTAACTTCTTCAATACAAGGCTCACAACTTATCAATCAGCCCTTGTAACTATCGCTCCATCAGTTTCTTCTTTTGGCCTATCTTGCACTTGACAGTTGTCCGTAACCGATGAAGCATACTGATAGGCTGTTTCTTTAAGGTTTGATACCATGATGACAGTTTTCTATCTTTTATTCCTACAGAAACTGAATATCCCCTTAAAAATTGCAAACTTGTTTCTTCCAGACTACCTTGGATTGAGTACCAGAATTGGTCAAGTGGCGAAGATAAGTGGCATTAATCTAAGATGGATCAGTGATCAATTGACCATCTTTAAGTATGCATGTGTGATTACTATATCATCTTTCAGTGTATAAGGGTGTCTTGTGAAGTTGCTAAATAGTGTAAGGATATAAAGATCTAACTTGGTGGGAACTTATCTAACTAGTATTAAATTTGTTGAATGACATTTCCGTTTACTAAAGACACTCACAATCTTCCTGATGGGAATAAACGTTTTTCATGGTCTGCAATTTAGTAATGATCAAGAAGAAGACACATATTTTCGGGGGAAACTGCTATAAAAATCTTTTGGCAGTCAGCTTATTTTAGCCCCAGGGATATTGCGCTCAAAAATAATTTCGCTCACTGCAGTTTCTGTATGTCAATATAAAATTGCGCAAATTTATAACTTCGCCTATTTGTTCACAACTGACATTGCGCTAAAGGTTGACTGCGTCAAAATAACACATTTACGTTACGTTTTTCTCAGGGACATAAAATGTAGATCACGTGTGCTTGCTTTCTCCCCGACTGATATGCATCGTTCCTACATACTGTTGGCATTATGATCGCCGCAGGCCACTTGCATACAATGAGAAGCAAATCAAAGCAGTATTTAAACCTTTATTGTCATTAATGATACAATAAGCTAGTTCACATATCGAGATTACACACAAAATAGACTCCTTATCGTCATCAGCTCTTCTGACGTGTGTGGGTCCAACTGACATATCAAATTAACAACGTATAAACACAACCAAAAGGTGACGATCAAATACCGCTTACGTCACAAAAAGGATGAAAGATGGGTTTCAAATATTTTGGGTATGTCCTTATTTAAAATGTAATTGTCATATTTTCTTGTCATCAATCAAAACGCAACGGTTTTCGGGGAAAACTCTCCTTGTATACTCTTTGAGTGGACATCAAAAATATAGTAAATTTCAATACAGCTTAATTCTATTGCGATAATATTTTTAAACGCAACAGTAAATGAGTTGTTCCATTTGCCTTCCAGCATGCCCTCTCACTTGAGAAAAATATCTTCTAAGTGAGGAAAGATTTCTAACACCATTGAACCCACCTTTAAGTAAATACAATGTAATATTAATGCAATGAAATCTGCTTCTTGTCACCAAACTTAATGGAGTATTCTTATACGCCGACAGTGAATTGCAAGGATTGGATTATGAGGAGCAAGATAAAAAAAACTAGCATATATTCATTATACAGCACCCCAGTTCATGAGAGGATTCACAAATTGATCATATATTAAGTTTAATTCAAAAGCCCTGCAATACAAATTCACCAAATAAATAACACAAAAATTCAGATATATACAAAGCAGATATCATGTGTATGTCACTTCTAATATACAAGTCTTATTGGTTGATGAATAAAACAGTGAACTAGTAATAAAATTAACAACAAACAAAACACACGTGTAACGGAATGATAGTCCAATTTACAACAAATCATTAGACATGGCACTCTTGTAGTTATCTAAAGGTCAAGGTCAGGGACTTCCCTCTTAAGTTTTTTCTTTTAGCAACATACAATGTGATGGTGTGTTATTCACGACTGAAACTGGTTTTATGAAAATGTGAATGACACATTAAGACTTTATCAATTATAGTATAGCCTTGCCAATCAGGTGTAATGGTGTATCGAAATTTAATCAATTATATAATAAAATAAAAAAAAAAACCCAAAACAAAACAAAAAAATCTAAAAACTGATCCTTGGTTTGTTATGGAAGTTTATATCAGAATAGTCTAACATACATTTAAAGTTTTCTCAAAACTACATTTAACTGCTTGTTTGTTTCAAGTTTTATAGCGCCTCTGCATATGGCCTAATTTGCATTACATATAAATTTACAGATTTCTAGCAAAACCTTCCCTTTGGAAGCACACTCCTAAAACTGCCATGTTTATCTAGTAAATGTAACTATACAAGACGGTAAACACCTAATACCAAATTGAACAATAATATATAATACTAAATAAAATGTGAATATTCCTGACTTAATTCCCTCACATTAATTATGCAATACATAAATACACACATTTTTATCTAGCAGTGGTACTTATAATTCATGTTTTAATGATGCATACAGTATATAATGGTATGGTGATGTGACATGTGTTCTGGTACACTACACACAGGCCGTACTATAATATGGACTTAAAAGCCGTTTGTAATATTAATGTTATATAGATGGTACCTGTACATATGTAAAACTTTTCTTGGTATTTACATGTAGTGATGGTAACAGACGTTTCTAGTAAATCTGTGGTATGTTTTCGTGGTAATGTATGTAAGGGTTTTGTTGTGGTACTAGATAAATACTCTGTAAGATGGTTGTACCACTGAAGACTTTTGTTAGCACTCGGTGAATGAGATGTGGGTAATAATGAGAAATTAATTGTTAGATAATGACAGTAAAGAATGGGGTACTAGTTTCTGGCAGTACAGAAACCAGTAATAGTACATGTAGTAAGTGCCACTGTTAATGCATAGACAGTATTCTAAATACAAACATATAACACGGATAATTATGACCTGCAGTTGAACCAAGTTTTTCTACATCCTCAGTATTACTTACACTCAATATTGAAAAAGATAATGGTTAACAACAATGATGGTTTAAAATGTCAGTGCAGTTTGTGTACTATATATTTATCAACGTTGTAAATGATAACTGCTTATTTAAATGCAACTCCTTGTACATTATGTATTTTAAAAAATCAAACCCCGTCTATTCAAATATTCAAAATAGTCATTCTTATTTCTGCAATCTGAGAACAAACTTCAGTGTTGATTTTTTTATCAGAAAGACTGGGAAAATGACATCATTTTGTTTTTGTTAATGCTAAATGGAAAATGTAAACAATAGAACTGGTTGTAGTTTGTGTCACTTCTAATTTTCTTTATTTTAAGTTTTGCAGATGATGTCTAATTTAAATCTCTTGCACATGTAGGGATTGGAAGGAATACATACATGTATTGTATAATTAATATTGCCTTCCTCAATTTATGAAAACTTCTGACTACCCATAATTTTGAAGGATGTTTTTCTTTTAAAAAAAGCAATATTAAATATTTCAAAAGCTTTTTAAGATAAATCAGGAATTTCAAAAATAATGTGAAATATAAAATATGCTATCAAAAAAGAACAAATAATATCCAAAAGCATCAGTTATAATGTGTAATTTCATAATCATTTGACAATTCTTTGACAAGACAGATAAACAGCGAGAATGTCGGTGTGAAAATCTCAAAATCTTCGAGTCTCACCTTTATAAACATTCATTAACTGAAAGAAGTCTCTTTATTTTCCCAATAAAAAGAATTGATTTTTCAGCAAATTCTGAAAATTTGTTAAGTGGAGCTTGCAGGTATGTTACTTATAAGGCACAAAAACAGTTATCCTATTCTGAGATGCTTCAAATGAGAACTGAGTAGTTTAACTTGTGTTAAGTGTGTGTTGTCTGTAAATTCTATTTTGGAAAGCTGATGGGTGAAAAAAAATTTTCAAAATAATTCAGATTTACTATTTTTTTTTATACTTGAACTGTTAATATTTTTTCTCTATTTGATCAGTTTTAGTCTTTCAATCTTCTAAAATTTCCGTAACCTTATCCAAGTCTTAATATGTTTCCTGTTCACCATGATATACTAGTTTTAACATTACATAAATGTATACTGTGTATGTTCTAGTTTCATGATTTGTGAATTCCCAAATTTTTGTGCAGTATATCATAGTGTTTCCTTCAGAAAATTGAATTTTTCGTAAAAGCAATTTACCTTTGATCCAGTACCCTTTGAGCAACTGTGCTTGTATACCACTATTTGAATTTGTCAATGCAACACTATTTATACATAGGTACTGCAGATGTTTTACAGCATGAATTGACAATTTATTTATCTGAATGGTATTTTTTTTCAAATAATGAGTTTCACAATCAAAGCAATGATGATACATATATATGAAATGAGCAAATACACAACTTGCAATTTCATAATGTAAAAAGATTAGTACATAGTAGTACTGATATGTAGTAATGGAATATTTAAGTACCTCTTTCATTATATTCATCTACACCAGTACCCACCACATCTGAACCCAGTCACTCTCACATGGTCATCTGACCAGGGATACTTTCATGTAATGTGGTCAAAATGGCTACAAATTTTCCGTCAATAAAGTGAGATGTAATCAGATCTTCGCATTCTGGCGACCCTTCACGCTGAAAAATTATGTAGCACATAGTACAAAGTAGATATTCACCAACCCCAAGATGCACAACCTTGGACACATGAAAGACAAAAACTTTCATTTCTAACATCACTCTTTCCAGTCTACAATTTCAACTTTCTGTCTGCATCCTTATCCCTTGTCAAGAAGAACTGCAGAGCAAGCCAATACATGGCTAAAGATAGTAATATAATTTCTTGCATACATGGTAACTTATTTACATGTACATGACTTTACGGTTAAGTTTTGATCCTGAAATACTAAGAAAAAGATCTAAAAAAAGGAATTACGCCATCAAGGTTGAACCAAATGAAATTGTTATAAAGGAGACAGGTAGTTATAATGGAATTCGTTTGACAAATACCAGAAAGAATGACTATGGGTACATACAATGATTTATCACAGATAGTTCATTGAAATAGAGTATCAAGTGTTTGACAATGAAAATATATGTCAGTTCTCAGCCTTACAAACCAAGGAAGGTGTAGATATATTGGGTAAGATCTAAGCAAAGTATCTGCACAAAAGTCCACTCTTCCAGCTCCTCCATGCCAATCATATCCCTACAAATCACTACAATATCTTTGTAATTGTGACATGTCTTTCAAATGTTACACTAAATTTTCAAATTTATAATATGTATATATAGAAAGAATTAGCAACAATTTAATTAGCAAATATGCTCTCACTCCTCCACAACACTATCATAATGTGCAATGAAAAATTTATTTCCAGTAATGAAAACATCAAACGGAATAATTTGTTTGTGTTGCCGAAACACTGCACATGGAATGTAAACATATCTAAATTGCTGTAAACAAACACTTTGGTTACATATACAATGAAATTTGTCCTTACTCAACAAAAACTTTGAGAGTGAAGCCATATTTCATCAACAAAAATGAGATCCAATCCCTCAGAGTATATCACATACAGGACTTATTGAGGAACTATTGGTCAACACTGAAAACTATACAGTCCTTTGAGGAGCATAAACACACACACGGAACACAATATAAATAATCCTCAACACCTTCTGATTGATTCACAAGACTTTTTCACTTGATGTCTTGATTCACTATCATTCCTCCAAAAAACGCCCGCTGAAAATCATCAGTGATCTCCATCAGTTATATATCTGGTTCATTTTTCTTTCTCCCTCGCACAACCAAGATCTTGATTGTTTAGCAGATACCAACGCTGAAACTATCATGCTGATAACATTTTTATAATATCTCCAGTGAACTTCCAAACCCCATCCATAATATCTGTTGACAAAGTCGCTGTGGCAGATTTTATTCCCTTCCCATTTTAGTAGAGATTAAACAACTATTCTATCAAACAAGTCTAAAATATATCTGAATTTGTCAAACATCAAGATATCTCTATTCCTATTTCCATCCTCCTCCCCTAGCCCCTTCCTACAAACCTCCTATAGGAATGCTTTGACACGTAAGCTGACTGCCCTCTACACCTACACACATCACAGACCTAAATGTATAAAGCGTGTTCAGTAGATGTATTTGCTTCCTGTGGTTGACTTCTCCAATGATGGCATCACCTCCTCAACGCTTGGCTGAAGCCTCTTGTAGTCACTTGTCTTTGGTCGTCTTTGTCGTCTTCCACTTCTGCCTTCAACGATGAATGCCACAATCTGAAAGTGTAACCAAACAGTTGCTGTTAAGTAAACATAATCAATGTGTTGGTCAGGTGGAGCAGTGGTAAAGCAATCACATTTCAACTCGTCATCTGGGGTTTGATTCCCAGAACAGACATGAAAAGGTAGCAGTGGTAAAGCACTCACAATTCAACTCGACGTCTGGGGTTTGATTCCCAGAACAGACATGAAAAGGTAAGGTGTCACCTGCACAACCACATGGGTTTCCCCCCCAACCTCCAAGTACTCTGGTTTCCTCCCACAATAAGACCTATAATGCGCTTACATCCAGGCCAACAAGAGTGATTAGTATAAGCTGAAATAACTTGTTTTGCAATTGTTGAAAAATAGATAATGTAAATCAAGTTTATATTTAAACACAATTAATGCTGATTTACCAGCAAATTTCATGTGCTTATTGATTTGGTTTTTAATCCATATTTTGACATCAAATGGATATATTCCAATTTGCTACTGGGGCTAATTTTCTAAGGAGTGAAAAATGCTGATTACAGGATGATGATATTTCATCTTTTGAATTATCTACTGAAATCTTAATACAATGGAGTTATTACCAAATATGTACCTACTGCTTAATAAGTACATGAGTTTGTATACATAATTATCATTATAAAGTATATATGTGGTTATTCTTTTGTCAATAACACAAGTCAATGCATACATGCATATACATAATATATCACATTTTCAGTTCTGTATCTGATGCTGGTTTGTCTACATGGGAAAACATGTTATACTGTTTAACATCCAAATGCATTCTGTGACAGTGATAAAACATAATACTGCACGTGTTCCATGACTTCACGTCATTTCAGCTGATCTGATTTCTCTGACACATTCAGCAAGTTTTTGCAAGAGTAAAGTACAATGGTTTTTCCATGATAAGGTATTATCGATGCTCTTGTGAACATTATGTAAAAATATCCTATTTAAATGGCATGGGATTATGTCAGATTATCGTTCTGTGCTCTGGATTTAATACCAAAATGTGAAAAAAAATAGTTATGGCCCTTTGTTTTGATCAGTGTGAGAATTGATGAAGCAATGGTTACTAAACTCAACATCAGCCTGGTGAGTTGTACCAATTTACACTGTGTCTACATACAGAATTAGTACCAATTTATACTGTGTCTACATACAGAATTAGTGCCAATTTATACTGTGTCTACATACAGAATTAGTACCAATTTATACTGTGTCTACATACAGAATTAGTACCAATTTATACTGTGTCTACATACAGAATTAGTGCCAATTTATACTGTGTCTACATACAGAATTAGTACCAATTTATACTGTGGTTACATACAGAATTAGTACCAATTTATACTGTGTCTACATACAGAATTAGTACCAATTTATAGAATTAGTACCAATTTATACTGTGTCTACATACAGAATTAGTGCCAATTTATACTGTGTCTACATACAGAATTAGTGCCAATTTATACTGTGTCTACATACAGAATTAGTACCAATTTATACTGTGTCTACATACAGAATTAGTACCAATAAAACAGAGATTACAATATGACATGAAGATCACTTAGACCTCTGAGGCTTTATTCATTTTTCTCCTATGAAAAATGGAAAGTGAAGATAAATCCTACATAATGTCCATCCCCATCACATTAATATGAGGAGACCCTATTAAAAGTGTTGGTGTACATTTGATTATGATAAAAAAAATACTTAAATTTACCTTCTGTTTGTTGTGGAATATCACGTATCCTGCCACGTACAGGACAACAGCAGTCAAAAAGTATGCTACAAAATGTCCAGAGGAAGGTTCATCTTCGTCATCCACTTCTGAAGTTTTCAAAAAGATACAATTTGTCATCTTTCAAATAAATGTACATGAACCTATGTGTCAACAATAAGGTTACAAAATTTATATATTCTTAAAATACTTGGTTTCTTGGCTTATTTTCCTGTCTGATTGCTACAGCTGTATCACTTATTTCTTGTCTGATTTCTAGAGCTGTATCACTTATTTTCCTGTCTGATTGCTAGAGCTGTATCACTTATTTTCCTGTCTGATTTCTAAAGCTGTATCACTTATTTCTTGTCTGATTTCTAGAGCTGTATCACTTATTTTCCTGTCTGATTGCTAGAGCTGTATCACTTATTTTCCTGTCTGATTTCTAAAGTTGTATCACTTATTTTCCTGTCTGATTGCTACAGCTGTATCACTTATTTTCCTGTCTGATTGCTAGAGCTGTATCACTTATTTTCCTGTCTGATTTCTAAACTTGTATCACTTATTTTCCTGTCTGATTGCTAGAGCTGTATCACTTATTTTCCTGTCTGATTGCTAGAGCTGTATCACTTATTTTCCTGTCTGATTTCTAAAGTTGTATCACTTATTTTCCTGTCTGATTGCTAGAGCTGTATCACTTATTTTCCTGTCTGATTTCTAAAGTTGTATCACTTATTTTCCTGTCTGACTGCTAGAGCTGTATCACTTATTTCTTGTCTGATTTCTAGAGCTGTATCACTTATTTTCCTGTCTGATTGCTAGAGCTGTATCACTTATTTTCCTGTCTGATTTCTAAAGTTGTATCACTTATTTTCCTGTCTGATTGATAGAGCTGTATCACTTATTTTCCTGTCTGATTTCTAAAGTTGTACCACTTATTTTCCTGTCTTATTGCTAGAGCTGTATCACTTATTTTCCTGTCTGATTTCTAGAGCTGTATCACTGATTGAGACATGTGACTTATCTCCTTATACACGTTAATTGAGACATGTGACTTATCTCCTTATACATGTTTATTGAGACATGTGACTTATCTCCTTATACATGTTTATTGAGACATGTGACTTATCTCCTTATACATGTTTATTGAGACATGTGACTTATCTCCTTATACATGTTTATTGAGACATGTGACTTATCTCCTTATACATGTTTATTGAGACATGTGACTTATCTCCTTATACACGTTTATTGAGACATGTGATTTATCTCCTTATACATGTTTATTGAGACATGTGACTTATCTCCTCATACACAGTTTATTGAGACATGTGACTTATCTCCTTATACACGTTAATTGAGACATGTGACTTATCTCCTTATACACGTTTATTGAGACATGTGACTTATCTCCTTATACACGTTTATTGAGACATGTGACTTATCTCCTTATACACGTTTATTGAGACATGTGACTTATCTCCTTATACACAGTTTATTGAGACATGTGACTTATCTCCTTATACACAGTTTATTGAGACATGTGACTTATCTCCTTATACACAGTTTATTGAGACATGTGACTTATCTCCTTATACACAGTTTATTGAGACATGTGACTTATCTCCTTATACACGTTTATTGAGACATGTGACTTATCTCCTTATACACAGTTTATTGAGACATGTGACTTATCTCCTTATACACAGTTTATTGAGACATGTGACTTATCTCCTTATACACGTTTATTGAGACATGTGACTTATCTCCTTATACACAGTTTATTGAGACAAGTGACTTATCTCCTCATACACAGTTTATTGAGACATGTGACATCTCCTTATACCAAGGGTATGGAGGCATGTAACTTACCTTCTGTGTTTGTTACTTTCTGTACAGAGATCTGATTATTGGAAGCCTTGTTATCTGTAAAATAAAATATGACAACACTACAGTAACGTCATCCATGATAATGTTTCAGACATCAAATTAATAATAACATAAGGTTCTGTGTTATAGATTTTATTTTTAAGTGATGCAGAGTCTTGTATGTATTGACACATTCCATCATGAGCAATTGAGGTAAAGCTAGTCCCCAAGAAAACAAACATGACAGCACGTACTGGTCAGTTTCTGATCTCCTTCCTGAGAAACATATACATGCATAGGTAGAGAGCATTGGAACACACACCAGACCTTTACCCAAGGTTGTGCATGTCAACTCTACTGACTGAGCTAATGTGACCCCCTCTCTAAATAATACAATATTTTACAAAAGCAAAGATATGATGGTCTTACAATTATCAGCATAGTCATATTAATACATTAACATATCATCATTCTTTTCTGAATGTCCTTGATAAATTTTGAATGAGAATTTCAAATCCTTTAAAAGTAAGTTTTGTTCCAATAAGTTCCCTACACATTAATTGTACAGTAACTGCTTTCTCACCAGTATTTAATTTTTTTCCGGCAGTATTCCAGTTAGTGTTTGTTCCCCTGTTTTCCTCATTGGTTGTTTCCAAGTTCTCTGATTTCCTGCCGGCATTCCAATCGATATTTGTACCAGTATTTGTACCTGTGTTTGTACCAGTGTTTTCACCAGTATTTGTACCTGTGTTTGTACCAGTGTTTTCACCAGTATTTGTACCTGTGTTTGTATCAGTGTTTCCACCAGTATTTGTACCTGTGTTTGTACCAGTATTTGTACCTGTGTTTGTACCAGTGTTTTCACCAGTATTTGTACCTGTGTTTGTGTCAGTGTTTCCACCAGCATTTGTACCTGTGTTTGTACCAGTGTTTTCACCAGTATTTGTACCTGTGTTTGTACCAGTATTTGTACCTGTGTTTGTACCAGTGTTTTCACCAGTATTTGTACCTGTGTTTGTATCAGTGTTTCCACCAGTATTTGTACCAGTGTTAGTGCCAGTATTTGTACCTGTGTTTGTGTCAGTGTTTCCACCAGCATTTGTACCTGTGTTTGTGTCAGTGTTTCCACCAGTATTTGTACCTGTGTTTGTGTCAGTGTTTTCACCAGTATTTGTACCTGTGTTAGTGCCAGTATTTGTACCTGTGTTTGTGTCAGTGTTTCCACCAGTATTTGTACTTGTGTTTGCAACAGTGTTTCCACCAGTATTTGTGCTTGTGGTTGTAACAGTGTTTCCACCAGTATTTGTACTTGTGTTTGTAACAGTGGTTCCACCAGCATTTGTACTTGTGTTTGTAACAGTGTTTCCACCAGCATTTGTACCTGTGTTTGTGTCAGTGTTTCCACCAGTATTTGTACTTGTGTTTGCAACAGTGTTTCCACCAGTATTTGTGCTTGTGGTTGTAACAGTGTTTCCACCAGTATTTGTACTTGTGTTTGTAACAGTGGCTCCACCAGCATTTGTACTTGTGTTTGTAACAGTGTTTCCACCAGCATTTGTACCTGTGTTTGTACCAGTGTTTTCACCAGTATTTGTACCAGTGTTAGTGCCAGTATTTGTCCCTGTGTTTGTGTCAGTGTTTCCACCAGTATTTGTACCTGTGTTTGTGTCAGTGTTTCCACCAGTATTTGTCCCTGTGTTCCCAACAGGTTTTGCATCAGTATTTTGAACTGCTCGTGTGCTTCCGCTAAAAATTGTTCCTGTGATCTCTCTGCTATTTGTTTCAGTTTTTACAGCAGTACTTGTTCCTGTGTCCCCACTAGTATCTGCTGTGGTGTTCATGTTTGTATTAGCTACTCCACTATCCATCTCTGTCTTTGCTTCTGTGATTTTACCAGTTCCAGTGTTCTCATCAGTATTTGCTTCAGCTTTCATACTATTGACATTTCCAGTGGTACTAGTAACTTTTGTGTTTCCACCAGGACTTGCGTTTGTAGCAGTAACATTTGCTCCATCAGTTTCAGTTTTGTTTTTAGCAGATACAGAAACCCGATTTCCATCGTTCTCCATGTTCATTGTAGCTTTCGGATCAACTGCTAAAAATGAATGATAATTCTTGACTTCAACAAACTTGCAAACTATTGATGTTCAGCTTATTACTGAATCTACACACTAATCACCGCATCTGCACGTTTATTCAGCGTATGATTTGGACCAAATCAATCAAACGAGAGGTGGGAGCAGTTGATAATCAATAATATTCACTTTATATGTATACATACATAATGTCAGACTTCATTTGTTTTACAGTTTGGGGAAACAAGTTATATCAACTTAATATATAAATCACTCTCTTTGGCCTCAATGGCATATGACTCACATTATCCCAATGTAATGGTCTGAATGAAAAGGGGGTACATTAACACTGAATCATAAAAAAACTTTTACATCATTGTTTTGTCCTAGAACTGTCACAAATCATCAGATGGTTGGCAATCCAAATCACCCTATGACTTTGGTCCATCGTCAGTCGGTCTGTAAACAATTCTTGTTACTGCTATTTCTTGAGAAAGAACTGATTGGATGTTTCTCAAATTTTATATATAGGTTACCTTTGGTCCTTTGTTGTGCTGTTTGATCTTAGGACTGATCAGAACAAAAAGCAAAACAAAACAGCTGACAAGCCATCTTGGATTTTCATAAGGAAAGTTTGTTACCATTATTTCTTCAGAAGTAGGGGATGATTTTTCCTCAAATATCACAGATAGAAATCCCTTCGAAATGGTTGACAGACAGCCATTTGTATTTTGACAATGAAAAATTGTTATCATTATTTCTGTACTGGTTGGGTTGTTCTCTAATTTTACATGTAGGTTCTCCTTGGACATATAATTAGTTGTGCCTGTTTGATTTTAGGACTGATCAGAAAAATAAAATGATTGGCAGGTAACAATCTTAGACTTTGACTAGGAAAAGATTATTAAGGGATAGTAGCAGAAAGATTTTTCTCAAATTTCATATGCAAGTTCCTCTCGGTGCCTAGTTGTTCACTTTTGATTTTTGGACTGAACAGAAAAACAAAATGGCAGATGGTGACACTTTGGATTAAAGTATACATGGGATTCTACCATATCTATATCTTAGGAGTCAACCAGGACCAACATCTGAACATTAGAAATATCAGCATGAGCTACTTACCTGTTGTTTTGTTTTCCTCCCCAGCTGGTTGGTTACTGCTGTCAACTGCTGGTACTTCTGTTTTAGATTCTTTTCCATTTGCTAAAAATATTTTTCAGATGAATGAAATATATGGTCAATCCATATACAAGACTTTTACAGAGAAGCGATAACTTGGTAATTATCTGAAAGGCCATAATAATAACTTAAAATTCATCAATGAATATTGATGTAACATTGTTCGCCCTTGCCTTTTTGACTAAGGGTTACAGTACATGCCTGTATCAACGTAACTACATGTATATCAAAGAAAGTGCTTGAAAACTGAGGGTACAAATCTTAAATTTCACAAATTTAAAGGATTTTGTACCCTCATTCCAGGGTAATGGGAACATTGATATATATATTGAAAGAATATTTTTAATTCAAATGTCTTCTAAAAGAAAACATTCCATTTCATTATGTTTTGAATTATAAAAGAATGTGATATGGAACAAAAATATACACTATATAGCCATATAAATTCGTAAACTTTCTCAGCAAAAATGTGTTTTTGTAAAAAATGTTCGGTTTCAAATTTGGGATATCTGCGGGCAAACTTTTGTACATGTAAGCTTTTAAAAGCTGTGTTTAAGCAACAAAAACTTCCAAAATCATGAAAATAATCAAAATCCAGACCAAAAATTGAGATGAATGACAGGAATGAAGATATGTTTTGTGTTTTATACAAACCTAGTATTGACTGAATACCAAACTATCCACTGATGTTTCGTTGGAGTACCGCTGCATGTTTAAAAACACAGGCACTCTGACCATCATATCAACACAATCACTTTCTGCTAAAAGTGGAGTCCTTTTACCATATATTACCCTTGTGATTTAATATGATCATGGTGTACAAAAAGAATTAGACTTACCGATGGCATAATAATACATATAAAGGTATTTGCACATATCCTCCTTCCCTTCACACCATGTGCTACAAGACAAATTTCCCTCAGGCTTCAACAATCGGCAAAGATCATCGGCTGAAAACGACTTCTTTATCTCTTCGTATTTGCTTTGTTCCATCTGAATGTGACATGCCCTGTCCTGTGCCGATTTCATCAAATTACACAAGGAACCAGGATCGTCTTCAGAACATTGAAAATCTGCCATAGTTGATTCCATCTTCAAAACATATTTCAAAGGTGGAAAAGAACAATTTTTAGCCAAATAATTAATCATAAATTCTCTAGGATTTGGGGCTGACACTGAAAACTCCATCAGAATAACAAAAATAACGAACGACACTAAGTGAATCATCTCCGCCATCGTGTCAGAATGCAATCTAGATCTGCTGTCAGCAAGACGCTTGAAACGTTTGTAAGAACAGAACCAAATGTAAGCTATGAATCCGGATTTCTTTTGCGAACCTATTTATTTCTATTTATTTACTGAAGATTATGAACATTCCTGTTTTATGAAATGAGGAATATCATAATTTAATGTGTTGATTTAAGAACATTTTATCCCAGGCATAAAAATAAAAACAATGACAAAGAAAAAAAATATGTCTTCACGATATGCACCACTATTACCGAATATGACGAGGGATACAGTTTAACTTCGTATCTAACTTTTGATACATGGGATTAGTGATATTTATAAGATATGCAACTTGATATGTGAACTGGGGACTTTTCGGGACATAGTCTCGGTACCAAAACGTGTCCAATGAAGTTGAAATTTTGGCCCGCGTTGTTCAAAGGCTGCTTAGAGATAACATTTTTTTTCCCAAATACTAATAAAACAAGATAAGGTAGCAACTATTTTTCGATAGCCACTGGTTAAGTGTAATGTCATCTTGAGGAACCGGTGCCTTCCTTACCTCGGTTAGAGGGCATATCGGTATGATGTCCAGCTAAAAATTGACTGGTCGTTAGTTGAAACCCCGGCTTGAGCATGGTGTTTTTCCGGCACGACTTGCCCCTAAGCGACAGGCCACAAACGATCGCGTACCGTCCGCTTAGAGCACAAGAGAAGTTTTGTGCTCTAGGCTGAGTTTCTGATATAAAAATCTGTTTTATGGGTTATATATCTATCTAGACAGAAATATTACTCGTTTGGTGTAAATATCACATTTTAATGTTTATATAATGCGCCAAGATTATCATAATTATTTAATGTAGTGTTTATTCAACGTTGAACCTAAATTGTCTTTTTGTTGCGGAAAGCATCTGGTTACTATCCACATATCTTTAAACATAATATGTACCTTGTGTGTAACATGAGTACTAGGGCGGATTCTATTAACACATTCAGAAATAAATCGTATCAGTGCATTTCATTATCGACACTGAACAAGGAAGTTTAATTAACAAATGTCTTTTCACCGAAGAAGCGCAATATTTGTTATATAAATGAAACACCCAATACAGTGATCTTCTAACATACATTAATATACATAAATGTTTGAATAATTTCAAAATTTTGTACCGTTATAAGGATTATTTTATGACATCAATCATCTAAGATTTTTAATTTCTGTGCATACTTCGTACAATAAATGTATATTTGCTTTGTTTTTCTTTAATTGAATATACATGTATACATTGTATAACTGGTGACCAGAGCAGTAGCAGTGATGCAACTCTTAATGTAATAACGGCGCTTAATATAATAATTATTACAATAAGCGTTGCAACGGCTACGCTTAATGTAATAAAGTTATTTTTATTACATCAAGTGGGCCAACTGTTACGTTTAATGTAATAATATTTTTTTTATTACATTAAGGGCCGAAACTGTACTATTGAAAAATTTAAGAAGGTTCTAAGTGTAATAAAGTCCGAAATGAAGGGGGACATATTTAGTCTTCTGTTTTGTATTGTTATGTCATTTTGGGTATTATTAGGGCCCCGCATCGAGATGCGGAAGCCCTATAGGAATCACCCTCTCCGTCTGTTCGTCCGTCCGTCTATTCATCCGGACGGCCGGATGTATGGACGTCAACACTTTTGTTTTCCAATGATACCTTCAGTTATGATTAGATTAATTATCAGAATGCCATCAAATCTTGCATGTGGCTCAAATGCCAGTTACCTCTCATTATCATGATCCCCGTCAACCGTGCCATATCAAAGACGTTTAAAATGGCACTTGAAGCGTCCCCCCTTAAAACATTAATACTGCAAGGAGCAAGGAACTGAACGGCCTGGAGTTCGTATAACGGTGTGGTTAGTGGGTTGGGTACATGTATTGAGTCTGCCATGCATGCCATGTACCTATGATATTATCTGCAAATGACTTAAGCTGTTGCGCGGACGTTAATCGACAATACAACACCACCCTTTTTTGGTCCAACTTTCAAGGTCACGGAATCAAAGGGTTATTGCTTTGTGTTGCTCCTTTGTTATGTTGTCGCTAAGATATAGTTGCATTGATTAAAAAAAAAATAGCTTCTTTTGTAGTCAAAATGCATCACAATATTTCTTAACATCAACATATTGTGTTTGAAAAAATATTCGCTTTTTTGGAAGGTCACAGGTTTTTCTTATCGTCTTTTTAATGATCAACACTGTATAACATCACATCGCAATATTGTATTCATGGAAACCAAGTCTCCTCACAGATCACAGTTGAAGATACGATGTAATCTGGCTAAATAATAAAACAAATTTTACACAAACCATTCATGATCAACAAGATAGATGTGATTTTAAACTTAGAGTCATGTGCCAGCACAACATCCATATGTTTTTAAGGCAACAAGAACTTCAACGGGTTTCGAACTCAAAACCAAGGAGATGATAGGCTACAACGATCACGGGGCGCAACAACCTAGACCGTTCGGCCATCGACACCCCGGCCCCTCCAAACCTTGACGGGAACATACACCATTATAGTATATTATTGCTATATTGTCTTGTAATCGACACGCAGTGTACTTCCGTAACAGTATAAAAATTGTTACATTAGCGGTAATTTAAATACGACCACAACGCTTAGTGTAATAATTTATTTTGTATTACTCTAAGCGTAACAATTGCAACTCTTACTGTAATATAGATAAGTTTATTACACATTAAGCGTAACGGTCGTAACGCTTAATATAACAATTATTACATTAGCGCCGTTATTACATTAAGAGTTGCGTCAAGCAGGGCGTAATTTGTATTTATTAATACTGTGACTATGTCTTCTCTTCTTGTTGTTCACACAGGGAAAAGTTGTATGAGTGTATGGTCATATATAGCTCCCAACGCAGTGTCCACGTGTTCTGTTAGTTGGCGCGGTATTGTTATCACAAAATTGTCAGTCTGTAATATAGAGAACTCAAACAAAGTAACAAATTTAGATTGCATCCGGCACTTAGTTATTATGACGTCAGCATCATTTAGGAAACGCCGACTGTTTGACGTCAAAATGGCCGTTTCTTTTGTCCTAATAGGGCGCGTAAGTCTCGTTAGCTTTCACTTTCGATTTTCAACTTCCGGATACATCGGCGCACAACAGACATACCAGAGACAAACAGCATTGTGTATTGTTTTGCGTTCGGATGTTCCCATCGAACTGGTGGGAAACAGACATGAAGCCTGTTTAGGTTCCCCGAAAACCTCAAGGAGAGGTAAAAATAGGTCGAACGATGCAGGTAGGTCAGAAATCTAATGGGAAATCGCGAGGATTTGGCAAGATTAAAAACCTTCGGGCAGAGTCTATATTTTGGATGGTTTGACAAGTTATAGGCCTAGTGACTTCTTATTTAGTGTATGCTTTTATTATCTTACAATATTGATGAAAGAGATGGGTTCAAATAATATTCGCTAATACAGATATGACAAGATGAAATACGCCTTTTTGGCTTATATAAAGTATCTGTAGATTCATATCAGTTGAAGCCCAAGGGTTTGTTACGAATATAAAGATATACGTCACATAGGCCTACCGATCTATTTCTTTTTGTAAGTCATTCGTAACAAATCCCTCTGGTTGAAGCTGAGTTGCTTCCAAATCAAACCTAAATACTGTATAAATTTAAACGTTGTTCATCTTCTGAAGAGATATATATACATCTACAGACGTGCGGACAGGGAGGTACACATCTACAACGACAGAATATGTAGCTTCATTTCCTTGATGGAAAGAAAGAGAATGGGCCAACTATTTTTTGTTTTAGTAAAGACGTTGGCTGTTTCCCTGAAATACCCACCCCACAAAGGTATATAATACGTGTTTAGGTAGAAAAGGTAAACAATTAAGCATTGAAAACAAATAATTTTTTATACAACTATAAAAGGGAAATGATTTGCAAACTGAATGAAGCGCATTCATGATTGGTTTGCAATTTGTTTTTTTTTTCTTTTTCATAGTTTCATATAAAAAACAAAATTAGTTCAGCTTTGGTAATTATTTCAAATTTGACTTTTTGGCAATTTGATCTCCATACTCCATTCTATAAATAAAAAAAAAATGTTGAATTTTTGCATGAATTTTCATCCAGATAGTTCAAAGCAGAACACACTATTCATGTAGTGAGATCTAGGTTCGAATCCTGGTCTGGATTTTTTTTTTTTTTTTTTTTGACAAATTCAATGTTTTATTTACAATATATTTAGATTTTGACAAAACACAAAACCTACATTGAAAAAAATTCACCCCCCCCCTTCCCCCATTTGGTGTTATTTTTCGTAGCCTTGGATTGTCTAGCATTTTTCGTATAAACAACTAAAAATTAACTATTGAAAAATAACTTTATTATTTCTTGATAATTCACAGTAAATAACAATTATGAATATATATATAACTACACTCCATATATGTGTAAGGGTGTTTAAATTTAACAAAAAAATATCAATTTCCTGAATTAGTTTTTTTTAACATTTCACATTGTAACATCATGAAAGAGAGTGCATGACATTATGTAATGGCATGTCAGTTAATGTGTATCAAAACCATTGAAAACGCATAAGAGAGGTTTAAATACCGTATTTATCCGGCAATAAGCCCACGCCTGGTAGTAAGCCCACCCAGGTGTTTTTCATAGATTTCAAATTCAATGTACTAAATAAACTATATCACTGTATTAAGCCCACTCCTAATTATTGATCCAATATCAAACACTGGCCCCCTTAGCATATTACAGGATAAATACAGTATTTAAAGTTGTCTGTTGCTTACAACCTGTTGTTACCTTTTCGCTCATGGCTTATACTATAGCGATATGATAATTATGTAAATATTGCCCCTCACGTTAAATCAAGATTAAACTAAAAAAAGGAAATGTCACTTTAATTGATTTTTCCTACAGACGAAAAAGACCAAAAGTTGAATTGGATGGTGAGGTGATGTTCGACAACGGCAAATCTGTTACAAAGGAATTAGCAACACTAGATCACAGCTACCATATTCCAGACTGTGGGGATAATGTTGAAGTACAGACAGTAAAAGTAAAAGTGAAATCAGGTATTTATGAATTATAATGCTTTCAAGTCAATCTAAACTTTCGTTTTAGATGAGTAGCAAAGAATGGAGTTTTTAGTGCAAATTTGTATGTACCAAGAATATTAAGCCAATGATTTTCTTCCAAGTTCAAGACTTGGAAGAGGAGATTGCTTCCTTATAGTTGGCTCAGTGCGAAATCGAAAGTGCCACTGTTGTGCATTGTGTAAGTGTATTGTAGTACCCGGAAGTGCGAAATCATCGTAAAATCTCGCAGACCACGTGACGTGACTTACGCACCCTTTTCATTGTCGATTATGATTCATTTCCTGTAGTTGCAATCACGTTATGAATTGCAAAAGACAATATGGGTAGGCAGTGTTAATATATGCACCAACAGGAATTGTTTTGTCGTTTATAGTCGATATTAATGACAAATGATATATTTGTGGTTAAAAGGACAGGCCTTTAAATGACTCTGACTACGGGGCTGATGTGAGTGAAACCCTTTTGACTACTTGGCTATACAAGGCTTTAGTTATCGCCCAAATATCGATGCTTGCATAAAAAATTCTGAAGATGCACAGGAGTAAACTGATGAAGTGAACTGGATCATACAGCTGTTTTGTATACACTAATATATTTGACGAATTCGTCTTGAATTATGGTATGAATTTTACTGAATTACTAGGTTAGCACACCTCCCTGTGTAGATTCTGACATTCGGGTTTTCCTCAGTCGCCTCCTAGGTATAAAATTAAGTTCCTTAACATCAATGACGAGTCCTAGAAAGATGAAACAGTTGTTTGATGTTTAATTTATTTTTGGCTCTGATGTGTCTTACCTAAATTTGTAATAAATAGTGGTATTCCCCTGTATGGCTGTCAATTTATGATTCGTCAGTTATGCCGAGACACTGAATTAATAAAAATAAATCATTATACACATTTATTTATCTATTTATTTATTGAAAAATAAAGTTAATGAGTGGTGAATATGAATATATTGCTGTGAAATATTTACATTAATATACATATATGACTTGTATCTTTGTGGCAAGTGATTTCCGGAAGTGACGTCATTGATGATCTTTGTTGTACAGACAGTCATCTCCATGATAGGTGCTCACTGGTTTGTTCAATGGTTTAGTGAAGCCATTGTCATTTAAATACTGCAGAACGCTGGCTTCATGGAGAATTTTAAATTCGTCTGGGTCCCTAGCTAACACGAATAGTGTTGCTTTTAAATTGTCCGTTACCACAGCGTATTGATATAAGTTGTTCGGTCCGAATGTAGCTGGTCCAAGCTGAACAACCCAGTCTGAAATCAGCAGTACATTTCAAGACGTTTTAAAACATATTCCATAAGAATACCTGTATGCATGAATAAGTTCAATTCATCTTATGAAATCAGACTTTGATTGGAGAATGATTGAAAAAAATCGTCGAAAATCACGATTCCATGGCGTGACTATTGATCATATTATTTCTAAGATTTAAAGAAAAAGGTAATACATCGAATATAACAACATTTGGCTCAATTTCTGACTAATAGACAGATAATGTATACTTACAAGGTGCACTGAAAGCCACAGTCTCTAACTGGACACTCAGTTTCCCAACCTCTCCAGAAGGAGTGGCATATCCGTGGATAATCTTGGCACTTCCATTTCCATTTCTTAACCTCTCTGAATTGAGCACAATGATTTTTCCAGATCCATCAGTAGACATAGTGTCTTAAAAGAAACAAGCGAAAAATAAAAATATATGAATACTAAAAATTGCAAATGCATAATAATGTGGTTATAATGAACGAAATATATTGTGTCGTAATCTATGTATCGAGATGTTCAAACGCTTATATAATTATTGTCGTGGAATAGAGATTAGGCTACTAGAATTAGCAAGGAAATGTCACTTTTTAATACAAATCTGGTGTTTTTCTGATTAATACAATGGAAAATACATGTATTTTGCGAAACTATTCTTGGATCCAAGTTATTTTGATTGCGGAAGGGCCAATAAAACAACGTAAAAAGCAGTCATCAGTAATTTAGTAGAAATATCATCGGAAATATTGACGTCGGTGAATATTTGTGTTACGTAGTAGGTCATACAACATAAATCATTGTTATCCAAGCTCAAGAAAGTTGGGAATATGACACCTGGAATGATATAAAACAGGACGAACTAGATCAAAAAAAAGGGCACGAGGCTCCAGAAAATTCACAGATAATGTGCCAAGGTTAACTCTTTTTAATCATAACTAATATTTTCCATAATTCCATAATTAAATGAAAAAAACTGTTTCTACTTACAATCGGCTGTAACACAAACCGCTCCACGTTCAAATGTGGCGTATACAGATTGGCTGGCATACATCTGTTGACAAAAGATATGTTTTGAATATTTTTGTATAATTCAAGAACAATAAGGAAATATTAATCAATGCTTTCAAGATATATGGCATGCGAAATATTCTATGTCAATTACTCTGATGAAATGATAGATTAACAGATTATATTACAAATGGATCCCCGCCATACTAAGAAGAAAATCAATGCAATTTACAGTAATTTTATGACCCCTTTGTTCAGTCGTGGAGAGAAGATGAACAAGATATTTTAAATTATTGAATTGAATTTAATTAATCCTTTTAAATTTTCTAATATATAGCAACCATATATGTATGGATCTCTTTGCGATATAATTTTCAAATAATTTCTACGGCATAGATATGAAATATGGAGACATTTCGAACTAACTTATACAATGAAAAATGGTTGTTAAACAGGTTTTGTGACAAATTATAAATTATGACAAATGATATCATGTTCTATCAGTAAACTGTAATTAAATATACCTGGTACCAGCGTCCGAGATATTTCGTTACGTCCAGTTCTGTAACGGTCTGTACATTAGTATCGAGTCCTAGCGTGTCCAGCAAAAACGCGGACATGGCTGGAGCAAGCAAAACTATAAGAAATGTACGATTCATTTTGTTCGGCTACTGGTGACGACAACTGTACAATCCCCTCAGATTATAGCGTTACATTTTGCATTGGTTTATATATAGACATTTTGAAAGTTACATAAACCTGATAACGTTGTATTCTACGTCTAGAATCTCGTGTTTGTCACACACAGCACGTGTATCAACAACGTGCCGAAAATACATACCTCTATAACCCCATTCATACGACGCGATTTGCATACCTCAGTATATTTTACACATATGTAAATTTACACGTACTTACATGTGCAATTTTTGTCGTTTGAACTGATTTGCTCATAGGCAAATTCTGCACAGTTGAGTAAATTTGCACCTGGTCAGGACTTGGTGCAAATTAACTTTTGCATACATGTTGTCGCAAATTATTTGCTCCCGTGTGTAAATTTTGTCGTATGAACACACAGCAAATTTACTTATGTAAGTATTTTGTCATGTGTATTGCACCAGTCTCTATTTTAAGCGTTGTAACGGTTGTGTGTGCTTTGGCGGGAAAAATATTAGTCTGTAAACATGACGCCTTTCAAACGACAAACGAATTTTCAATGGTCATTCGTGCTCTACTTAAACGATAGTTGAAAGTAGATTGAGTTTCTGTAAGGGAAGATCTGTTGGTGTATGGCTTCAAAATCCAAGTCTTCAAAGGATACGCTGGGTCGCCAAGAAGAACTACTGGCATAGTACTTTCCCCAAATGGCTTTCGCCACTCTGGAAACAGCCATTATCTCCTATGAGATAGATTTATGAATTTGCATCATGGACCCTTCCTAGCCAATTTATATTTATGTCTCTAAAGATATAGCTGTGGTCGCAAGCACCCTGCAAAATCAAGGAGTAAAACCCTTTCCAGTTCAAGTAGTCTCCATGGGAATGCTTAGGAGCTATGATGGGAATATGCGTGCCGGGGCCAAAGCATTTTCCAAATTTTCACAAAATTTTAAGAATGTTTCCTTTTTCATTCGAAAATTCTCATACCAATCTTCGTCCATAAAGTCATTAAGTCGGTTCTGTCCTACCATTCAGTGGATAGGACTTTCCTTCTAGTTTCCTAGATTCGGGAACATCCAATAGCTAGTCCTATACCAAAATAATAAGGGAATACCATTTTTCTGTGAAAATTCACCAGTCTGAATCGGTCCATCTCCTTATTTCAAATGACAATTTGGGAAATTACTGACGGTACATAAATCTCTTATGAACGCATAGCAAATTAACTTTTACTTATGTGTGTAAATTTACTCATGTGTAAATTTGCATATATAAGCAAATTTTCGTCGTATGAATGGGGTTTATATTAATACATACATGCATCATCCAAGGAAATCGAATTTCTACACGATCTTATAAAAATAACAAACAACATCACGTGACATTTATTCTGATTAATCAAAAAGGAAATATTGTTCAAAAAGGATATGGTTAATCAGGGCATTCACATTTTCAGTCAAACCGTTAATCATGCACTTGTATTTGTCGCAAAAAGGTGGTGTTTACTTCTGGCAGCTTTCTCACGATTACAGGGGAAAGGGACGAATGGTTAGGAACGTGACTGTTACGCAGATGATGAAATAGATAAGGCCACGTGGCAATCACAACAATCCCGATGACAGACCTAAGGAGTCGTAGCTAACTCTGCGACATACAAGTTTATAAATTCCAAATAAGGGCAACATTACCAAAAATTACGGAACATGAAGAACCCGTGCATGTTTGATTTTCAAGAGGGGAAAAAGCAAATTCAATTGCTACTATGTGATATAGATTTTCATAAATTCTGAATAAAGACAAAATTCACAAATCTTGAGGAACATGAAAAATATTTGCATGCTTTACATTCAAGAGAAAACATGAAATTAAATCGATCATTAATCAATGAAATAACAGCCGCAAAAGTCGAAAATATGAACGAGAACACCTCAAATGAAAAACATGAAATTTACTTATACACCATCCGCCATTGAAGTGGGAGGAAATTTCATTTTAAAATACAAATGATAATAAGATGGTTTTATAGTGTGCAAAAAATATAACTTCATGTTGTTAAAGAAGTCCTTTTACGAGTTCGGTCTCTCCATGCTCGTGTAAATGATAGTTAAAATACATGAACACAAGATGTGAAGGTACCTTAGTATAACATGCTTAATATCACTAACAGCGACACCCAATAATGGACTAAAACTGTTTTTATGATACAGGCTATTGTCATATGTAATCAAACCATAGATCATTGAAACAAAATAGGAATAAACAGTCTTCATCAAATTCCTAACCATCAACCAACTTCAGTGCAAAGAGTGCACTTTTTTTAGAAATGTTCAAAATACTCCAAGAGTTATTTCTAAAAGTACTGATTTCATTACAGTTAAATTTGCATGAAAAGTACATGTGTTACATTGAATTTAAGAGAAGAGATCGATTCGTTATTGAAAACACATCAGATAACTGACATCAAGTTGGCATATCTGTCATTTCAAAGTGCAGAACAGGTGGGAAACAATCTGCCGGAGTCCTCTGGCATTGGCCGCCATTTCACTATCACGGTCATCTTTACCTGACCTGATAACACTGTCAGTCATCGGTCTCACTGATACGCCCGTGTTTACGACAATAAAGATAAGACTAATTAGAGCCCATATAGTCAGGAGTTTTTTTTCTGTTTGCCAATTATTTCACAGGCTTGCAGTTGATGATGTATTTTATTTTTCCTTTTTTCTCTCTCTTTTCATTGACGTTGAATCTCGTTGCGTGATGACGTAATGGTATGTATTTTCTACATCGTCAATAAATATTTAAACTTGTCATTTTTATGCCATACGCTATTGATTTTTCTGATTTTTTTTTTAATTTTTGAGTTTTTTCGTACATAACAAAAAAGACCAGACAACATACATACTCGCTTTTACACACAGAATAATATACATACGTAAGGATATGTAACATGCATCATCATCATCATCATCATCATCATCATCATCATCATCATCATCATCATCTCCTATTGATTTAAGTATTTCATGGAACTTCTTTTATCCATCGAATTTATCAACGAAGCCAGGAATGTTCCCAGACACTTAACGCCAATTTATCTATGGTATCATGACGTTATAATTTCCTCATTGATTTACAAAAATGTTTTCAGATAGTTTATTCATCACGTCATAAACAAAAAAGTAAACTAAAAGAAATTTCAACCACCAACGGTCATGCGTAGATTGTATTTCTGATATGAAAGAAAGCTGTTATGATATTGGTTTCATTTAGAATTAGTGATTTTTGTTTTTTCAAAATTTACCAATACCTTTTAACAGACCCTAGTACAAATGTCCATATATACATTTGTCTCATAAAAATATTGACATTTTAATGAGATTTCACCTGGTGACGGGTTGACTTGAACATGATGCTACACCCATTTTCCAACACACCATGGCACCACATACACCTCTAAACTGATTTTTGTTTGAGTCATTTCACAATCGTAAACATCTTTGAAACCGAACCCTCGATGGAACTGCCAGTCAACGACTTGTCGAGAGCGATAAGGCTGTGTTTTACGACATCAACGATACGCACAATTAAAGCAAGGATTGACACACTATACGGAGTGATGCTGGTCATAATACTTTTGTGTCAGCTTGCCACAATTGTTGTTGATTTTATCCATATAATGCTTTCTTTTATATCTGAGATCAATTCCAGGGTCATTCGGTTATCTGCCTGAACGTCCAAGTTAACGATAATTCCAAAAGTACCCGGATATCTATTAACGTATATGCTTGTGCCCCTGATTAGTGGAGAAGCCAGATATCTATGAATATGGCTATATATCACTTATTGGTCAAATAGGGAGATAACTGTAGATAAATTACCAATGAGTTTTAGAGTGCCCACATTACTGTAAAGACAGATCGTTGGTTGATAAAATATTAGACTTGCTTAAAATACATAACGGTGATACGATGGTATCTCTGTTGTTCAAACAGATATTTGTAAACTTTATCAGATGTAATTTTGTACGAGGTTGGTGTAATTAGAATTGTGAAAATAATGTTATTGATAATATGGAAAACATTTTATAATATTAAAAACCTCTGTTTGATTAATAGAATAGTATTATGGGTAGCGTAATAATATGCATTGATGTTTTCATATGGAGCTGCAATTTTTCCGAAACATGATTAATGCAAGTGTTTCAGGACATCAGTAGAACCATTCATGCGAATTCCCTTTTACCAGAGACTGTATCATTTGAACATGATGAACATGTCCATTGTATAACCTTATGTAAATAGGCGACCGTACTACATGTCATTCTATTTTTGTATGGACCTTTTATATCCAAAGTTCCCAATGAAAACCTGAGTTTGTACGCATTTTTGTCTAAATAGGATGATAATATTGTATTATAATGCAAATGAAATACATGTAGATAATAGAAGGCTTGCAGAAGCCAGATCTTCAACTTGCAACAACATCGACTAATATTCCAGAAAAAATGGTCTTTATTCGCAAATTGTACAAAAGACACACAATTAAATACCACTTGTTTATACAAATTGAGAGTTAGATTCAGCAACAATAGTCAAAAATGAACTAAACTGCATCATATTGCTGTTTCCTCCTTATAGAACCCGTCCATGATGTTAAGGGTTACACTTTTGAAGCCTAGGAAGCGACGAAGGAAAATCCAAAGTGATTGGAAGAAAAGTCAAAATTAAGAAGTGGGGCCGCACTAACCTCATAATTCAATAGATTTAGAATTTTTCTTATGTCTGATTTTTAGAACAGCGTCAAGTATATGTGTAATTTTTATCCTTGTCACTATTCGGAAATCAGTATAATAACAATGGTAACTTGGAGGAGGGGTTGTTGCAGGACGTTCAGACACTTTATGAATGTCTCATTTTCATCAGGCATGGTTGGTAGATCGATTTTTCGTGTGAAAAAAAACTTATTTGAGGAAAGACTTGCCAGGCATTTTTTATAAT